AGGGGTCACCAGACCAGCAGGAACTGGGACAGTAGATCCAGCGCTCAGCAACTATTTATCAGGGGCTGAAGCCTTGGCTCAGTGCACCAAACATTTCCCTGGCAAGTGTGAGGACTGGGGCTCACAGCCCCAGAACCCACATAAAAGCCAGGCAGGCATGATGGCACCCCGTAGTCCCAGCACTTGCGAGGCAGACACAGGGTAAGCTGACTAGTTAGCCAGAACTGGCAAGCTCTGGGATCAGCAAGAGACTTTGCCTGATCAGTAAAATGTAGCAACCAGGGAGACACTCCGCATCAACTTCAGGCCTCCACAGGCATACATGTGTACACACACTCACATGTGAACATGCAGACACACAAAGTAAACAGCCTTTAAAATCTCTGCCCACTGGAAGTCCAAAGCTGTTTCTCTTCTATCTTTCGGACACTAAAGTGCTGAAAGTCTGTGCTGAAGTCCAACAGACTTCGGTTTTGATTCCATCCTCTCTGGTATGCTGACAAGGCAGGAGGTGAGGACTCTCCGGGGCTCTCTCAAACATGGGGAGGTCAGTCAGACGGTGGTGGCCACTGAGACCACCCCTTATTCGGTGCACATATTCAATGCTGTAACATCTGGCCCGTTCATATCAAACACGAAGCGGTACTTATGCAACGTGAACCCTGGCAGATGTTCCAAATGCCAGCTGGCAGAATGCAGCTTTTGAAAACGTTTCCTTGGGACTGGAGAGATGGCTCAGTGGTTAAGAGCATTGCCTGCTCTTCCAAAGGTTCTGAGTTCAATTCCCAGCAACCACATGGTGGCTCATAACCATCTGTAATGAGGTCTGGTGCCATCTTCTGGCCTGCAGACATACACACAGACAGAATATTGTATGCATAATAAATAAATAATAAATAAATAAATAAGAAAACGTTTCCTTAGGTCGAATTATCAGAATATTAAGCTTAAGTTTAGAAACAGCTTTACTCAAATTCCTGCTCACTCTGGTGTTCTTTTCAGCAACAACAAAATGCATAATTTTCTCAGCGCTTTAATGGACTTTTGTGTTTACATGATTTATGTCTAGTTTCTGTTTCCTTTGTTGTGAGGTCTTACTCAGTGTCTGGCAGATTCTCTGAACATGGTGTGTGGGGTTTTTCCTGACTTCTGAGCAAGTATTATTTTAATGTTATAAGATCATAGTGTCATTGTCTTAAGGATATAAAAATTGACTAACAACTTCCGAAAATGATTAAATTGTCGGCTAAAGGGCGGCAGGTGCTGTGCTATCTTAGGTTAAGGAGCTGGGCTTGGGCATCACTGCGCTCAGTCAAGACATGTTGTCTCAGACTTCTGGCACTCTCTCCCGCTGGACTGAGTCATCTGCTGTCTGTAAACCTGAAACAGGATTCTGTTACATCATGCTGGTTTCTAATAAATGGAAATGTTATGGTTTCCATTTCTAGCCCACTTTTCACTAACTGAAGAAAATATCCTTGGTATTAACATAGGTGGGGGGAGTCAGTCCGCGTTTCTGAAACTTATTAAATGAAGACTCAAAGTTATGCTTAAATGGCTTGCATTAATCGCTTCAAATTTGAAAACTATGTTGGAAATTTTGGGGGTCAACCAGAGAGCCTACAGATGCACCAGGTAATGTGCTCCCTCTGAGCTCCCCCCTCAGCCCCAGCATTGTCTCGTCTCCATGAACTGAGTCATTTGGAAGCACTGGACGTTAGCTTTCACTGTCGACTTGACACCGTCTAGCGTGACCTGGCAAGAGGGAGCCTCAGCTGAAGGTTCACCCAACAAACTGGCCTGTGATCATGTCTGTGGGAATCATCTTGATTAGTGATTGGTGTGAGGAGGGCCCAGTCCACTGTGGGCACAACTTGGGATGTATGAGGAAGTCGGTGCGGAACAAGCCAGTAAGCAGCATCTTCTATGGTCTCTGTTTCAGGTCCTGCTTGAGTTCCGGCCCTGGCTTTCCTCAGTGATGCAGTGTGGCCTCTAAGCAGAAATAAGCCTTTTCCCTCCTAGGTTGTTTCTGGCTATAGCTTTTTATCGCAAGAACAGAAAACTCACTAGGCCACACAGATTACACAATTTTTTAAAAGATGGAAATTAGAATCATTTCCTGGGATATTCCTTAAATTCAAGGGGACACTCTGACTAGGTGGACCTGGAATAGAAAGCAGAAAATAGCCCAATTTGAGAAATAACAACAAAAAAAGGGCAATAGTCCCCAAAGGACAGAACACATCGTTTAGCATGCCTCAGTGGTTAAGAGAACAAACCGCTCTTCTAGAGGACCTGAGGTCAAGCCCCAGTGCTGATATTGGGGCTCAAGATCACCTTTAAGTCCAGTTCCTGGTGGCCCGATGCTGCTGGCCTCTGAGGACACTCGCACACACATGCCCCACACAGCCTCACATGCAAATACACAATTAAAATAATAAAAGTAGTTTAAAAAACAAATTATAGTTTAATCTTTTTTGCATTTTACTCAAAGAAAAGAGCAATAAGATACAATTCAGGGTGAAGAGGAAACTGTTAGGGAAACCTAGAGATGTTGCCGTAAACAAAACCACAGTGTCTGTTGTTGTCATGGGCTGTTTTAGAGTGAGCATCATGGCAGCCAGTATATACTACACGGAATGTATGTATTAACCTAGGTCCTTCTGTCCCTTGTGTGTTACTAAGTACATATGACTACTGAGCATTTGGCTTGTGACTGGTTCAGTTTGAACACTTAATAAAAAATCTCATTCAATGCTGATTACACAGCAAAATAATCTCTTATGTTTTGAATTACATTAAATATACTGCTTAAATTATTTTCTTTTTTTTATTATTTATTTATTATGTATACAACATTCTCCCTCCACGTATGTCCACACACCAGAAGAGGGCACCAGATCTCGTTACAGATGGTTGTGAGCCTCCATGTGGTTGCTGGGAATTGAACTCAGGACCTCTGGAAGAGCAGCCAGTGCTCTAAACCGCTGAGCTATCTCTCCAGCCCTGCTTAAATTATTTTCAGCTATTTTTCTTTTTTTAACTGTGGCTACTAGAGATTTAAAATCATGGATTACTTTACATTATTCCTAGATAAGCTCGGCAAGAACAGTCAGTTTTATAAAATCAGAAGAAATAATTATTACATAATATAAATATTAAGATATCACTTTTTCAAGGAAATAAATGAGAGCCCAGTCATATTGGCACATGCCTATATTCTCAGCATTTGAAAGGCTGGGTCAAGGAGATAGTCATGAGCTAAGCCAACCTGCACTCCATAGCAGGAGGCCATGTCAAAAAAAAAAAAAGTCATGAAGATAAGATATGGTGAGTTAAGAGACTCAGGCAGGAGATGAACGACACACTCCAGAACACAAGCACTAAATCTCACAGGGCACAGGGGATCCATGGGTGAGGGCACGTTCTGAAAAGGAGTCTTTCTCCTGGGACACCACAGACTGTCGGGTAAAAACAGGTCAGAACCAGTCCTTAGGAGCTCTCCCACCCCACATCTGCAGAGCCAGCAGAAACCTTATGGGGCAAAAGTTATAAAATTCTGCCTTAACAAGAAGGAATTTAGTTACAGTCTTGAGAATGCCAGGCTGTAACATACATTGGACCGGGAGCAAACATTTGCTGAACTGTTGTAAAGGGTGGCTTTCCAGGAAACTGGATTACTGAGAGGAAGAGGGGGGGACATCCCTGCCAACCCTTAGGCTGGGCTTTCCTTAGGTGCAGGAAATCAGGCAAGAAAGTTTCAATGCAAAAGCAGCCCCCCTCCCAGCTCACCATAGGTTCACATCCAGTATCTGAAGACCTGAAGTCAAGACTGAAATCTTCCTTGGCATTTACACTATGTTTCAGAGGGAAGGCAGACGCGGCCGTTACCCGTATGGGGGACTGGGCTCTTCCACATCTAGGTGGACACAGAATAAAAGCAGACCATCTGTCATCCTCAGAGAGGAGGAGCAGGACCCTTTTTCATTCTGTATTTGGTCCAGTAAGCTTCTAAGCCATCTGCAAATATAGAACTTGCTTTGTAGGTCAGGCTGGTCTTGAATTCACATACATCTGCCTGCCTATACTTCCTCCCGAGTGCTGGGATTAAAGGTGTGTGCCACCACTGCACCCAGTCTAAAGTTTAAAAAAAACCACAACTCTCCTAGACTTGAACTCATTATGTTTCTATAAATGACACATTTAAAACAGAGTCAGAAAACTTAAGAGAAACAGGAAGAGATGACAACTTTGTCTTTATAGTCCTTAACAGAAAATATACGAAAGTATAAATATAAATATACAAAGTATATGCACTAAAAAGCACACATATGCCCAGCGGTGGTGGCGCACGCCTTTAATCCCAGCACTCGGGAGGCAGAGGTAGGTGGATCTCTGTGAGTTGGAGGCCAGCCTGGTCTACAAGAGCTAGCTCCATACAAGCACATACATGGCTTTAAACTTCAAACACAAATAGATGCAGAAAACAACAAGATCTCCTGAGTAAATTGGGAGTGAGGGGATCATGGGCAGAAGGGGATGGGGGAGGAAAGGAAGAGAGCAGAGAAAAATATATTGCTCAATAAAGACAATAAAAAAGAAGTAGATGCAAGCGCACAGATATGGGGAGAGAACTTCAAACAAGAAATTGAAAGCAAAATAATGCAAAGGTAGCGCAGGTCACCTGTTAGCAAATAATCTCTGTCCAATACACATGTCCTTTCCTACAGTTACATGGAGGAGGAGCTGGTTGGAACTGGGACGATCTGCCTGAGTCTGTGGGACTTGGAATTACACTGCCCAGAAAGGCACCTGTAGGTAAAGGCACCTGCAGACAGCTGCTTCCCCTGGCGGTGAGCTACAATGCAGACAGCACTCCAGTTCCCAAGTACTTTCACATTCCAGTCAGGCCCTCACTGCAGCAGACAGGAACCGGCAGAGGCACTGACATGGGACGAAAGGGAAACTCTAGGAAGCAAGAAAGCGGCGTGAGTCAAGCAGGGAAATTCCTGCTGCTGCCAAGGACTATTGGTCTATAAAATGTTCCTGCTTCAGCCTTCCACTGTTCTCTGCAGAGCACATCGAAGCCGAGGCAGAGCAGCAGCAGCTGGGGTGGACATGAAGGGCATCGCCATAGCCTTCGCTGTGCTAATCTGTGCTACAGCTGTCCAAGGTATATGATTCCTTTCGCTTCTGTGCCGATACGTTCGTTCATTGTGTTATCTTTCAAATGCCTTTTCTCTAAAATACACAGTCAATTTAATTTCACACATTAGAAGTTCCAGCAATGGCGGGAAATGTTGGAAATCTTTATATGAAAAGATTATTTTAACTATGGATGATAAACTTCACAGATTTCTTAATTTTCTGACAATTACCTAGCAAGAGCCTTTAGAGGAAGCTCTCAGTGTCTATTTAGAGAATCTTCTATGGGATTATGTTGGTGTGTGGGAAAATTAGTTTTTTTAAGCAAGAGCTCATCGATTTATTAGAATCAATACTTTCAGAATAAAGGAAAAAAGGAAATTCTTTCTGGGGCCATGGTCATAGTAATGTTATATGTGTTTGATCAATACTTCGCTGGAGGGCAAGTGTGTTTAGGGCAGTGTGGGTACCGACAATGCTCTGCAGCCCCGCCTCCCAAGAATACTGTCTCTAAAGGGCAACCTTATTGACATTTCCCCATCAGCTGAACCTAGAACTGTATCTCCCGTGCTCCGATGGTTCTTCTATCACAGCAGATCTGGGCTAAGGATCATGGGGCCTACAAGACAAACCTAGTCATGTTTAGAACTCTCCCTGCTCTCAGAAAGCAGTGAATCTTTGTGGTTTCCCTGGAGACGCTTGTGGGGTCTGAAAGCCAGTTAGCTCTGGAGGATAGCAAGATTTATGATACTTAGCTTTAGTCTAGAATCTGATCTTCAGAAGACAAAGATCAAAAGAATTGTTAACTATTTGCTCATTTACTAAAGAACAGACTACCAGGGTCTGTGCCAGCTAGAAAACCATTTAAAATAAACCCAGAAGAAAAGAGCCACTTTGCTCCTGTGTCCCTGAAGGCTGTGCAGTTGTTATTTCAGGTACTCAAGGGTCTGGCTGGTGGCATACACACACCACAGTGTAAGTTCTGGACTTAAAGAGGCTGAGCGAAGGCAGGGTAACACTAAAATGTGGGGTCTGCTATGTACTGCGCTTCAAGTTCAAGGTCATCCTGGGCTTTCTGGTGAGCTGGAGGCCAGCCTGGGTCAAACAGCAAATAAGTCCTATCTGAAACCTAAATTAAATAATTTATAAAAATAAATGAGTGAAATAATTAAGGATATAATAAATTAGCATAAAGCAGAGGGAAATATTATAGGGAGATCCTGACTTAATTCCAATCCACACAAATGAGACTTCTAGAAATGTGTCTGCCGCCATCCCTTCCCCCAGGACTGTAATCCACAGCCATCACTAACCAGTTCTGTGATCTGTTCTAGGCTTCACTATGTTCAGAGCGGGGCGCTGTCTTTGTATAGACCCTGGAGTGAAAGCCGTCAGGATGGCAGATATCGAGAGAGTCTCCATAATCTACCCGACTAGAGGCTGTGCCAAAGTCGAAGTGATGTAAGGAATGGGCTTGCTGGAGATGACCGTGGGGTAGGTGTCTTCACTTTGTTGACATTTCCCCCAAAGGTTAAAACTTCTCTGTATCTTCCTTAACAGTGTTACCCTGAAAGCCAATAAAGGAGAAACGTGCCTGAACCCCAAATCAAAGCAAGCACACATCATACAACAGGTAGGTTACCAGACTTCCAAGCTAGAATGTGATCTTATCCATGAGAGCTCTGGACCACATTACAATACTAACAAAAGCTGCGTGAAGCATTCAGTTAAGGGGTCCTGGGTTATGACAACATCCTTTTCCTGCTACATGTTCTTACAGGTCAGCCCTTAACTACCAAAAAAACAAAACAACCCAGTAAATAAAACTTTCCATTTTCAAAGAATTTATACTAACACTACTCATATTTTACAAAGCAACTTCTGCCTTTTATGTCCACTGGCAATCTGGTGTTTTTGGCGTGGTCTGTTATATGTATCATGCTTGCTTTTATACTTCCTACTACAAGATAAGTTTGCTGTTTTTATTTCTTAAAAAAAAAAAAGCAAACCTACTTCAGCAATACCACACTGATTACCTGAAGTCAGTTTTCCTTTCTCCATCTGCAACTTAAGTGGATAAATCATACATTACCTGTTTTTATTCGTAGAAAATATTAAAATCTAATTGTTAGAAAGGTCCTGAGGATTCTGTCTGTACCGAATGGTCATTTACTACCATCTTTGTATGTTCTAAAACTCAGAGGAAAAAAATGTTGTCTTATTCAGAGCTGTAAATCTTACTGGAGAATTGATGGTTTGTTTTCCTTGCTAGTCTTCCCCTGACCCTTAGTGTTTAAAATAGTAATTAAACCTATATTTTGTGATTATTAAAAAACAACAAAACAAAAATTCTTTGTTTTCTAATTACAGGCAATAGAAAGAAAAAGTTCTTTAAAGCGCCAAAACCATGTGAAGTCCTAAAGAAAAGGAGGGACTGGAAACCTGAAGTGTCTGTGACTACTCAAACATGAACTGTGAGACAAACAACCCAACCTTCTGTCTCAGAATATACACCCATAAATTACCAGGCTGCAAAACCTTCTAGGAAGTTTGATATGCCTAACTATTCTGCTTGGCTATAGAAATATTTATCTCTAAAAGTCACATGTCTGCATGGGTGCGCATTCCACGTTACCTTCTGTGGTTACAATGGACTCACTGTTACTGGAGCCCAGACCAGTACTGGACTCAAAAGCATCTGTGTGTGTAGTAAGGCATTCCTTAAAGGATTTTTCATACAAATAAGCATTCCTTTCCCCCAAATATCCCAAGGCACATAAGCATCTAGGAGAAAGTTTCCATGTAGAATCTTGTTTGTTCATTCACGGGATGTACTGCAGACAATTCTGGAAAGAACCCTAATGCTGCCTTAGTAACATTGGTTTCCCCCAAAGTGTTCTAAAGAAGTGAAGATGTACATTTCTTTTTATCTACTTTATCACTTACAATAGTCTGGATACATTTTAAACATAAATTGCTTTTGTTCACCAAAGAAAAATATTGAAAAAAAACCTATGCATATCTATCAATCTGTTCTTTTTGATTCTGTTTCCAAGAAAAATATATACTTTGGACATTTCCTTTGTCATACTGTGAATGGTAGGGACAGCTAAAACTGGCATTCTTTAAAAAGAATAAAACTCGTGTTTTTCTAGTCAGCTCCTATGACTGTTATTAAACAACTGTATGCTTTCTGGGCATCAATACGTCTTCAGGTTTTTGCTTTTTTATTTTTTTACTTTGTATTTTAGAGGCATGCAGCTATATGTCATCACACAGAATTCTTTAAAAATATAATTCAATGGGAGGAGTTGGGGATGAGAAAGAATATAATGAAAAGGTATTTTAGAAAATTCTTAAATGAATAAAAGGGAACTAGCTGGCTAAGGTGGTGCACACCTTTAACTCCAGCACCTGAAAGGCAGAGGCAGGAGGATCTTCAAGTTTGAAGCCAGCCTAGTCTACATAATGGGTTCCAGGACAGCCCAGGTGTCATAAAGAAATCTTGTCTTGAAACACCAGGAAAAAAAAGAAAGTAGTCATAAAGGAATCTACTCACATTTATTTAGGATTAAGAGGGATTCTTCCTAAACCAACACCTCCTCCCCCTTCCCTTAAGCAAATTCCTTACCTTGTGACTTTCTGAGCCCAGCCAAGATGGAGAAACCAAAGGGAGGTTTCCTATCAACTTCAACAAAGACTCGGCATGGCTGTGCCTACCCCACCCTCTGCACTTCAGCCAGGGCACAAAGACAGTATCAGGAAGACTGCTAAGTAGCAGCGGTGACACTCTTGTCAGCGGCTTCCTAACACCTGACTTGGCCCTGATGGGTCATTTCTACTTAGCTCCCATATATGTATGTCAGTTTTGCAGATCTGATTGTCAGTCCATAGCTCCGTAAACAGGGGATCACAACATCATCGAATACGGAGACAGACAGAGACAGACACAGACAGACACAGACACACACACCCCACCTGGCAACAGTAAAAGACCTCTGAAAGCACAACAACCAAACAAATCAAACACAGTAGCCCATGGTGTTTGTAGCAGCATTTGCCCATGTTTCATTACAGGGGATTGTTGTCAGCTTGGTTCTGAGCGTATAACGTGTTCACTGCACTGTAGTATAGAAAGTCCTTCTGTCTTTGTGTTGCTTTCATTGGTTAATAAAGAAACTGCTTTGCGCCTGTTGATAGGGCAGAACTTAGGTAGGCAGGGAAAGTTAAATGGAATGCTGGGAGGAAGAAGGCAGAGTGAGGGAGAGACGCTATGGAGCCACCGCCAGAGTCAGACATGCTGAATCTTTGCCAGTAAGCCACTGCTACGTGGCAATATACAGATTAATAGAAATGGGTTAAATCAAGATGTGAGAGTTAATGGACTTCCCACAGGTCAGGGAACCCTGACTGCTCTTCGAGCAGATGAGGGAGGGGGACTTGATTGGGGGGAGGGGGAGGGAAATGGGAGGCGGTGGCAGGGAGGAGGCAGAAATCCTTAATAAATAAATAAATTTAAAAAAAAAGATGTGAGAGTTAGCCAATACAAGGCTAGAGCTAATGGGCCAAGCAGTGATTAACTAATACAATTTCTGTGTGGTTATTTTGGGGCTAAGCTAGCTGGGCCGCCGGGCCAAACATGCAGGCCCTCCTCCTACTACAGTACTGTGCATGCCATGACACCATGAATGCAATCAATCAATTCTTCCTAAAACACTCAGACTGGAGACCACTGTATATGCAGCAATGGAGGTGTCTGCTGTGCATACAGAGACGCCTGCTCTTGCAGAAACATTGCTGCTTAATTACAAAGAAAAAAGCTCTTCATATTTCATACTGTCATCATTCAGTATGGAAAAGTACCACAGGGTATCCTTGGGTTGGACTGCATTAGAAGATTCGGTTTGTTAACTGCCCTTTCAGGACTGGGACTATAGCTCAATACTAGAGCCACTGTGTGGCGTGTGCAAGGCCCCAGGTTCAATCCCCAGCACTGACAGTACATGGCTCTTTGAGTTGCTGACTTAAGCTTTGTTGAAAAGAAATCAGTTTATTTTAGCTGAGGATTAGAGAAGAATTTCCAACAATTTCTGAAATGCCCTAAATACACGTCATATTTTTTTGTAAAACTATATAAAGCAGTGTCCTCAACACTGACAATTCTGAAATAAAGATATCTAGCCAGTGGTGGTGCACGCCTTTAATCCCAGCTCTTGAGAGGCAGAGGCAGGTAGATCTGAGTTTGAGGCCAGCCTGGGCTACAAGAGCTAGTTCCAGGACAGCCAGGGCTGTGACACAGAGAAACCCTGTCTCAAAAAAACTAAAAAAACAAGCAAAAAAGATCTCCTCAGACTCTGAAATGCACCGGAGATGTTCCACTCCCTCCAATGTCAAGCACCCAGCTAAGACAGAATGCTTTATGTAAAAAGAAGTACCCCGTGCATTCTCCTTCATATGAAACTGTTCTTGTCTTTCATGAATGGCAAAATTATATGTACAGCAAATTATTGTTTTAAAAATATATTATTTGGGGGGCTGGAGAGATGGCTCATCGGTTAAGAGCATTGCCTGCTCTTCCAAAGGTCCTGAGTTCAATTCCCAGCAACCACATGGTGGCTCACAACCATCTGTAATGAGGTCTGGTGCCCTCTTCTGGCATTGCAGGCATACACACAGACAGAATATTGTATAAATAATAAATAAATAAATAAATATTTTAAAAAAATAAGAAAAAAATATATTATTTGTTGTTTTTTGTTTGTTTGTTTTTACCGCAGCGTAGTACTCTAATGTGTATATATTCCGCACGTTCTTCATCCATTCTTCCATTGAAGGACATCTCAATTGTTTCCAGATTCTGGCTATTACAAATAATACTGCTATGAATATAGTTGAACAAATGCTTTTGTCATATGATAAGGCATCTCTTAGGTATATTCCCAAGAGTGGTATTGCTGGGTCCAGGGGTAGGTTGATCCCGAATTTCCTGAGAAACCGAAACACTGATTTCCAAAGTGGTTGCACAAGTTTGCATTCCCACCAGCAATGGATGAGTGTGCCCCTTACTCCACAACCTTTCCAGCAAAGGCTATTATTGGTGTTTTTTTTACTTTAGCCATTCTGACAGGTGTAAGATGATATCTCAAAGTTGTTTTGATTTGCATTTCCCTGATCACTAAGGAGGTTGAGCATGACCTTAAGTGTCTTTTGGCCATTTGAAGTTCTTCTGTTGAGAATTCTCTGTTCAGTTCAGTGCCCCATTTTTTAATTGAGTTAATTAGCATTTTAAGGTCTAGTTTCTTGAGTTCTCTATATATTTTGGAAATCAGACCTTTGTCTGTTGTGGGGTTGGTGAAGATCTTCTCCCAGTCAGTAGGTTGCCTTTTTGTCTTAGTGACAGTGTCCTTTGCTTTACAGAAGCTTCTCATTTTTTGTAGGTCCCATTTATTCAATGTTGCCATTAATGTCTGTGCTGCTGGGGTTATACATAGGAAGTGATCTCCTGTGGCCCATCTGTTGTAGGGCACTTCCCACTTTCTCTTCTATCAGGTTCAATGTGTTCTGACTGATATTGAGGTCTTTAATCCATTTGGACTTGAGTTTTGTGCACGGTGATAGATATGGATCTATTTTCATTCTTCTACAGGTTGACATCCAGTTGTGCCAGTACCATTTGTTGAAGATGCTTTCTTTCTTCCATTGTATACTTTTAGCTCCTTTATCGAAAATCAGGTGTTCATAGGTTTGTGGGTTAAAATCGGGGTCTTCTATACAATTCCATTGGTCGACTTCTCTGTTTTTATGCCAGTACCAAACTGTTTTCATTACTGTAGCTCTGTAATAGAGTTTGAAGTCAGGGATGGTAATGCCTCCAGAAGATCCTTTATTGTATAAGATTGTTTTGGCTATCCTGGGTTTTTTGTTTTTCCATATAAAGTTGATTATTGTCCTCTCAAGATCTGTGAAGAATTTTGATGGGACCTTGATGGGGATTGCATTGAATCTATAAATTGCCTTCTCGAATTTTGCATGTAAATGGATGGAAATAGAAAACACTATCCTGAGTGAGGTAACCCAGACCCCAAAAGATGAACATGGGATGTACTCACTCATAATTGGATTCTAGCCATAAATAAAGGTCACATAGTCTATAATTGGTGATCCTAAAGAAGCTAAATAAGAAGGTGAACCCAAAGAAAAACATATAGTCATCCTCATGGCTATGGGAAGTAGACAAAATTGCCGGGGAAAAAATTGGGATCTTGGGGGTGGGGTGGGATGGGGGTAAGGGGAGATGGGGAGAGAAAAATGAGAAGGGGAGGATGGGGGGAACTTGGGGAAACAGGATGATTGGGATAAAGGAAGGTTTGATAGGGGAGCAGGGAAGCACAAATCTTAGTTAAGGGAGCCACCTTAGGGTTGGCAAGAGACTTGAACCTAGAGTGGCTCCCTGGAGCCCAAGGCGATGTCCCCAGTTAGTTCCTTGGGCAGCTGAGGATAGGGAACCTGAAATGACCCTATCCTATATCAATACTGACGAATATCTTGCATATCACCATAGAACCTAAATCTGGTGATGGATAGAGATAGAGACAGAGACCCACACTGGAGCACCGGACTGAGCTCCCAAGGTCCCAATGAGGAGAAGGAGGGAGAACATGAGCAAGGAAGTCAGGACCATGAGGGGTGCACCCACCCACTGAGACAGTGGGGCTGATCTATTGGGAGCTCACCAAGGCCAGCTGAACTGTGACTGAAAAAGCATGGGATAAAACCAGACTCTCTAAATATGGCGAACAATGGGGGCTGATGAGAAGCCAAGGACAATGGCAAGGGGTTTTGATCCTACTTCATGTTCTGGCTTTGTGGGAGCCTAGCCAGTTTGGATGTTCACCTTCCTAGACATGGACGGAGAGGGGAGGACCTTGGACTTTCCACAGGGCAGGGAACCCTGACTGCTCTTTGGACTGGAGAGGGAAGGAGAGGAGTGGGCGGAGGGGAAGAAGGGTGGGAGGAGGGGGAGGGAAATGGGAGGCTGGGAGGAGGCAGAAACTTTTTTTTTCTTTTTCTCAATAAAAAATTTTTTAAAAATATGTATTATTTGTGGTATCTTATCAGCATTTGCTTACATGCCTATTTTATACAACTATGCATTTGG